AGGGAGAGAGAAGAAGGGAAAAGAAAGAAAAAAAGGAGAGGAAAAAAGGAAGAGAGAAGAGGAAAAAAGAGGGTGGGGGGAAGGAATGAAGAGGGAGGAGAGGAAGAATGGAGAAAGAGAAGGAGGGTAGAGGAAAATAAGAAAAGAAGGGAGAGAGAAGATAGGAAAAGGGAGAGAGAGAGAGAGATGGAAAAGGAAGGGGGGAAGAGAGAGGAGGAAGAGGGAGAGAGAGAAGAGGAGGAGAGGAAAGAGAGAAGAGGGAGAAGGCGGAGGAAAGGAGGGAGAGAGAGGGAGAGAGTACAAGAGAGAGAGAGGGGGGGAGAAAGAGAGAGAGAGGGGGAGAGGAAGGGAGAGAGTTTTCAGTTTTGATAATGAGATTGTTACAGTTATTTTTTTTTATAGTCCGAAGTAAGAAATGATGTAATAAAATGAAAAAGATATTAATGATTTAGATACGTATATATAAATCTTTAGGTACAGTTACAATATGTAATATAAGATTATAGTATTACTAATTCATTTATCGTAGAGTGTATTTTCACTTTTATTTTGTATTATTATAATTTATTGAATTTACTTACAGCTGGAAAATAGCGAGAAAGAGTCACAGAATAAATTAAGTACGGCAGTTATGATGGGAGGTTGCCAGTTTATCTTTTTTTATTTTTATCATGAATATTATTACCCTTTTCATTATTATTGTATTACTATAATTATCATTGTTATTGTTGCTGTTAATATTATTAATATTATTATTAATATTATCATTTTTATTTTTAATGTGATGATTATGATTATTGTCAATATTAATATGGGTATTATTATTATTGTTATTATTATTGTTACTGTTATTATCAGCTTAAGTTTTGTTGTTTGCATATATTTTTTGTATAACATGATGAGTAATGTGATTTTTTCCTCATTCTAAACACATACACACATATACCCTTACATGCATATCTACATATATATTTATATATATACATATACACACACATACCTGCATATGCATGTACATGGCACACCACACTCACACGGTCACGCTCACACACACACACCCTGCACACGTACACGCCACACACACACGCACACACACAACCCACACACACACACACACACACACGCACACACACACACAACACACACACGCACACACACACACACACACCTCACACACACACACACACATCAACACACACAACACACACACACACACCACCACACACACACCACACCACCACACACACACACACACACATGTTCACATACCCCCTCAACAACACAAATGTACACACATCCCCCCCCCCCTCCTTGCCCCCACAGGCCCTCAAAACTGAAAAGCCTCCATATGGAAGTAAGCGCAGAATGTGACCAGTTGAAGAAAGAAGTAATAAGCGGAAGAGAAGAAATGGGAAGAATGATGAAAGAGCTGGAGAGGAAAGAAGCAGAGAGAGCAGAAAAACAGGAGGTGAGAGGGAGAGAGAGAAGGGAGAGAGAGAGCGAGAGGGAGAGAGAGAGAGATTCCTTTTAATGCCATCTTTTATCAGGCTTCCTTTATTCCTATTTATACCCATTATTCCATCTTTCCTGTTATCGTTTGTTGCTTCCACCCATCTTCGCCTGTCCCTTTGAGTTTTGCCCTTACTCCCTTTATTATCTGTTACTTCCTCTATTCCTATTTTCATTTGCTAATTCACCAATTCCCCTATTCCAATCTTCATTCTTTTGAATTGTTCATTCCCATCTTCATTTGCTAATTCATTCTTCCCCTCTTCCCTTCCGTCTCTTATTCGCATCTTCATCCTTCCCTTCCCTTCTTACCATATTTATCACCTCCATTCCTTCTTCCTTATTCATCCACTTTCCCTCTTCTTCCCATATTTATCACTCTATTCCTTCTTCCCATCCCTTTTCTCCTTCTTTCCATTTTGCTTCCTTCTTCCCATTTTTATCACCTCTATTCCTTCTTCCCACACCTCTATATCCTTCTTCCCTTTCCTCTTATCCTTCTTCCCAATTTCATCTTATCACTTCCCATCATTCACCTCCATTCTTTCTTCCCACCTTCATCCTTTGCTTCTCTTCTTCCCATATTTATCACCTCCAATTCCTTCTTCCATCTTCATACCTTTGCTTTCCCTTCTTCCCATATTTATCACCTCCATTCCTTCTTCCCATTCATCCATCCTTTGCTTGCGTTTTCCTATATTTTATCAACTCTATTTCTTCTTCCCATCTTCATCCTTAGCTCCCTTCTTCCCATCTTCATCTGCTAATTCCCCCCTTCCACTTCCAGGCTTGGCGACAGAAAGCCGAGGCTCTCACGGAAGCCGAGTCTCGAATCTCGGCCCTCGAGGACGACCGGAAGAAGCTAGAGGAGGCACTCAAGGAGAAGGAAAAGGAGGATGAGGAGAGGAGAGAGAGGGAGGAGATGGAGAGGGAGAAGAGAGAAGAAGAGGAGAGGGAGAGAGTCAGGGTGGAAGAGGAGGTGAGATGTGTCCATATATATATTTTTTTTTTTTATAAAGAGAAGAGAGAGAGAGAGAGAGAGAGAGAGAGAAGAGAGAGAGAGAGAGAGAGAGAGAGAGAGAGAGAGAGAGAGAGAGAGAGAGAGAGAGAGAGAAGAGAGAGAGAGAGAGAGAGAGAGGAGAGATGAGTGAGTTACCTGTAGCAAGACAGATGTGCTTGGAAAGAGCATGAGCGACGAGAGCTTTTATTTACTAAGTTTGCCAATGTTAGGGTTTTTTATGATGAACTTAGAGTATTTAACATATTGGTTTAAAACCCCACACAAACCTGACATTTTAACTACTGTTGAGACATTCCTCAGTCCTGATTTCCCTGCCACCTATAGGAAAGTAAACAGCTACATATGTGACGGGCCGGTTGGCAATGTTTAGTGCCATTGCTGTTTGTTTCCTTGAGAACGATCATTATCCCAACCATCCCCATCTTCCCATCTTTGTCCCCTCTATTCCTTCAATCACTAATTCCACTTCCAGGCTTGGCAACAGAATGCCGAGGCTCTCTCTGAAGCTGAGTCTCGCATCTCGACTCTCGAGGACGACCGGACGAGGCTGGAGGAAGCACTCAAGGCGAAGGAAAAGGAGGACAAGGAGAGGAGAGAGATGGAGGAGAGGGAGAGGGAGAAGAGAGAAGAAGAGGAGAGGGAGAGAGGCAGGGTGGAGGAGGAGGTGAGAGAGAGAGAGAGAGAGAGAGAGAGAGAGAGAGAGAGAGAGAGAGAGAGACAAGGACAGAGAGACAGAGACAGAGAGAGAGAAGAGAGAGAGAGTGAGAGTGAGAGTGAGAGTGAGAAGGTGAGAGTGAGAGTGAGAGTGAGAGTGAGAGTGAGAGTGAGAGTGAGAGTGAGAGTGAGAGAGAGAGAGAGAGAGAGAGAGAGAGAGAGAGAGAGAGAGAGAGAAGAGAGAGAGAGAGAGAGAGAAGAGAGAGAGAGAGTGAGAGAGAGAGAGGAGAAGAGAGAGAGAGAGAGAGAGAGAGAGAGAGAGAGAGGAGGGTGGGAGGAGGGAGGGAGAGAGAGAGAGAGAGGAGAGAGAGAAGAGTGGAGAGTGAGAAGAGGAGAGTGAGAGTGAGAGTGAGAGAGAGAGAGGTGAGAGGAGAGTGAGAGGAGAGTGAGAGTGAGAGTGAGAGTGAGAGTGAGAGAGAGAGAGAGAGAGAGAGAAGAGAGAGAGAGAGAGAGAGAGAGAGAGAGAGAGAGAGAGAGAGAGAGAGAGAGAGAGAGAGAGAGAGAGAGAGAGAGTGAGAGAGAGAGAGAGTGGAGAGGAGAGAGAGAGAGAGAGAGAGAGAGAGAGAGAGAGAGAGAGAGAGAGAGAGAGAGAGAGAGAGAGAGAGAGAGAGAGAGAGAGAGAGGCTGGAGTGAGAAGAGAGAGGCAGGGTGGAGCATGAGGTGATTATATATTATATTATGTATTGCATCCTCTAATTATTTATCATTATCATTGATTGTTATTATTATCTATTATTA